AGCAAAAAAAAAAAAAAAAATAAATAAAAATTGCCATGTATTAAAAAAAAGAAAAGGAAATGAACGTATTTGGCATAGCGAATCATTATACATATGTCGGGCGTAAAATTTTCGGTGTTTACTTATTAAAAAAAAATGTTTTTACGTTTTTTTTAGTTTTTTTTTTTAGATATCGGCGTATTTTGGTTGTCTGTTTCGGACTGACACTAAACACGGTGATGTCGGTGAAGAAATTCCCTGAATAATTAAGGCTTGAAGTCCAAGAGGGGGCGGGGTTGTCATGGCAAAAACAGTAGCTGGAGCAAGCATTTCCGGAAATCGATGTTTGCTTTTTTGTTTCTCACCGATTTCGTATTTTTGACACCAACTGTATTTATACAGCTAAACGACACACTGTCGTTTATCTGTGTTTTCGATAAAAACCGGAAAGTGTATTGCCTCCTTATAAGCCGCCTGTGCTCAGATAACGTCAAATCTTCTGCCGGATTGAATAGTAACGAAATACGTTTTCGATGCATTGTCTCAAGTTGGCGTTAGCGACTTCAACACGAGCACCATTGGAAGTGTCGGCAACTTCAAAGACAACCGGGAGTGTATTTCTCTCTTTGAAGATGCCGCCTTTCTTTCTTTCATGGCTCGCCATTCAGCCTGTTATCAGCGAGGAGGAGCATCTACGTCTGACCTATTCGGATACACGACAACTCAGAACGCTCCGGCAGATGAACGGCGGACACAAAAACACACGGGCACCGCAAGAGGACGCGAGGCACACTCATCGCCCATTTCGCCTGTTGACACTTGATTCTTATGTACGGTAAAAGTTCACTGATCGGGGATAGGCCGCAGTTCCCGGACGCGCTTGTTTCACTAGCGCCCACGCGCGCGCACACACCGCTATCGTAGATGACGTGTTCCGCAGTCTTGGGACTCGGAGTCAGACGGTTCGTAGAAGGTGTGCGGCAAAAACGTTGGAGAGGGCGTGAGTTCTGCGGCAGAGGAGGTCACTCTGCTCATTGTCACCAGATACGGCTTTCCTGGACTGTGAGTCTGTGACGGAAAGGCGGCAGTGGAGGTGTTCTGCAGCTCTAGAACACTCGCTGTCCCTTCCGGTTCTCCGGTCGCTGAGGTATTTAGTAGGTGCTACCGAAGACAGCAAGTATCTGGTGGTTATTTGTGGTGCGGCTGTCCTGGATTGCAAGTCTGCGAGGGAAACGCGGCAGTGGAGGTAACCTGCAGCTCTAAAAGACTTGCTGTCACCTTCCGGTTCTCCGGTCGCTGAGCTATCTTCATCAAGTTCTACCGAAGACAGAAAGTGCCCGGTGGTTCTTTCGTGGTCTACCTTGGTGACTTCAAGACATCCATGGGTGAAAGCATGAGGTACGCTTCATTTGTGCTTGCTTGAATTCTGAAATCGCTGCGCCACCAAAGCTGTTTAAAGTTTCGACTGTTCGGACTGCGCGTTGTCCATCCCGTAAGCCGCAGTTGAAAGCAGTGGAATGATGGATTCCGATGCAGGATCCTTGAGGAACTGGACCGCTTCTGTGGAGGACCTTCTGGCATTCGTGGACCGTGCTTCGAAAAGCGTCACAGCCGCCCTGAAACGACCAGCATCGAAACCGAAAGGTCGCCTCAATTTGAGAAGGTACATTCAGAAACGCCTAAACAATAGCCAGGACTACGTGCGTGACCGCACGCCCGCTATGAGCAGAAAGAAAACCACCCGAACCTCCAAGTTTCCTAGCTCCTCATCCCTGGGATCCAACTTTGAACGAAGTGTCCTCCCAACTCTTCACGGCGCAGAGTCGTCGTCACAAGCTGATTTAATTTGTGGTGACTTTTTGGGTTCAGTGGTCCCTTCGGGAAACTACAGCTGGAACTCAAATCCTTCGCTGTTGTATGGCTATAACGATGACAGTTGGAGCGCTTCAGGTCGCTCGCAGGAAGGTCACACTGGGGCTAACGAAGCCAACTTATGCGACGGTGGAAATGACGGCTGCGTGTTTTGTACCAGAGATTTCTGCCAGAACCTGTCCTATTCGAGGGCTTCTCCACACAACGGTGACTGCTGCATGTCGACATCGGACACTCCAAGCAGCCAAGGCACCAACGTGGTCTGTGCTTCTGTGGTAGATCCGGTGTTTCCGCCCGAGAACTGTGACAAAATTGTGCCTCTGATTACTCCTGAGCCGTTCGGAGCGCATGACACAGCTGACGTTGCTTGCAGTACAAATCAGGAAATCGGTGAAGGCTCCGAGTTTCAGTTCAACTCGTGTATGCTTGAGACGGAGCGCAAACCGTCGGAGCCAGAGTTCAGCGGTCCGTCCGCTTCTATGTTTAGTTTTTTTTCTGCTTCTCATTCTTTAGTTTCTATGGTCTCCAATGTGGAGTAGCTCTCAAGCCTTCTTAGGATATCGGGTATTGTTTGTATTCGTCTGCCGTTATACCAGATAAAAAAGGAACGTTCTCATTTGTAAACCTGGCACGGTTTGTTTTCTACTCCATTTTATACTTAGTGCAGAGCGCGTTCATTTGCACATGCTCTCACGCAAGTGAGATGCCATCAAGCTTGACGACGTTGTACCGACACCGCCTAGAATTACTTAGGTGATACGCTGCTCTTCACGAATTCTGCAAAGGAGTTGGCGCACCATTATTAGGGTTCAGAGGACCACGTAGCTTCATTACTGTTACTCGTTTCAATGCAGAGAAGGCTGCAGCAGGAAGCTCGTAGCTTAGCAGGGGCTTCTAGAGCGGCATGAGCTCGTAAGACGAAATCTATTTCGCTTTTATACGGCCGCCAAGTGATCTGCAATGTTAATCATAGCATATATTTGGGAAGAATCTGGTGCCAAGGTACGAGGGAAATCCGAAGAAAGAAAACTGTTCCCGTGGGACGCGTCTCGAAGCTAACGATTCGTGACTTCCGAATGACCTTTTGTAGGTTTTGTTAGCTTGGAAAAAATAGCATACAGGAATGCGTGATCAGAGGACGTAACCATGAAACGTTCTAACGCTGGCATACCGGCTGTAGTATGGCATACGAACGGAAATGTTAGTGTTTGTGCGTTCAATTCCCGCTTAATACTTTCGTTTGTTTTTACTCGTTTCTGACAGCTGATACGTAAGCAGGCGCTGGACGTAGTCGAGACCGGTTATAACGAAGTCGGTTATAACGAAATAGCGGTTACAGCGAAGCGATCACGATTTCTTATTCCTTTTGCACTTCGTTATAACCGAAGTCGGTTATAACTAAATAGCGGATATGGCGATGTGATTTCCAATTCCCGTTAATTTCGTTATAACCGGTCTGGACAGTCCAAAGAGGCCACGAAACGGTGGTGTGTTTGCAGTTTACTAGCTGCATATTGCTTAAAGTAACTGTCAGCTTAAGAAATAATGCCGGACGTAGCGAGTCTCGAGTCTCTCATTATTCCTCCACAGTCAATGAGAGTGCGGCATTAGGCGAGAAGAACGCCAAAGGACCAATCACGAAGCAAGGAGCGTTAATTAACATAATAGGCCCCGCGCTGCGTTTCTGAAGCTGTCAGTGACTCTAGGGAGTATTCACTAGTGATTATGTGTGCACGACTGCTGAGCGCGTGCTGATGCCATGCTGATGGTGAGCTTGCACAGTTCTTTTGCAGCGTGCATTCCACACCATCGAGATTGCAGTTCTTATGGCTCGGCCTTCCCAATCAAAAGAACCGAAACGTTCTAGCCGATTTAGAGATTCTAGCCAAATTGGGAATTCAGCCAAATTGGAGCGTTCCAGTCGAATTGGAGATTGTAGCCAAATTAAGCCGTCAACCGAATGGACACTTCGGCCGGATTGGTGGTGGTGGAAAACCTCTTTATTGGTCCTGCGAAAACCCCTACCCCTCCGTCACCCCTTCACCAACACACCTACGCACAGTCTGCCGGTGAAGCAAGCGCCGGGTTCGCTGGACGAAACCCCTTTGTCCCTCCAAGTCCACACACATCACACCATCCTTGAAGTCCTCCGGCCAGTCCTGGGTCCCCGATGCCTCATGCCCCCGTTGTTCACAGTCCCACACAATATGCTGCAGCGTTGCCCGACTGTCCTTACATACCCTGCACAAGTCACTCTCCAAATTCCCTGGGTCCACGGATGACACCGGCTCCTTGGCCTTGGTCATCTATAGACCTTTCCAGAAGAGCGCTGCTGGCCGGTTCTTTTTCCAGTATTCACGCGTATTGCGTGATTTTCTCGCTTTCCGAATCGACGAATAGGCGCGTGCTGGGCCGTGGAGATCGCACGCTGGGCTGAGGACTTGTAGATATTGAAATGGTGTATAGGACTACCAAATGGGGTACGAGTGCTTGCAGTCCATTACCCGATTATATTGTTTAGCGCGGAGAAGGCCCAAATGGCGATCGATACGATTTGTAAAATGTGACAGTCTGAGCTTTGGATACGCTGTCAGGGAAGTCAGGCGATATTACTTTTCTCTGTCGCAGACCGTTTTAACACTTCTGAAGTACAAAAAAACCTTTTTTTTTTTTTTACGATTTTAGATAACGCTTTAGCTTACTGGCAGCAACGACTTTAGGCACCAACTGCATGCGCGGGGCATCGCACTGCACTCCCTTAATATAGCCACTGATATATTGCGAGAGCTGTGTTTTGCAGTCAAGGATATAAGAATGAAAAAAAGAAAAAGATTACGATCACAAAAAGGAGGTTAGAAGATTGGTCGAAAAGGTCTACAGATGTGAGACGATACACAGAACTAATAGGGTAAACGTTTTAACGAGAGACGGAATTTAGAGAAAAATATAAACGGGAGGGGCACACATTTTTCTAGGCTAGGTGGCGCTCCCTACCGCCCGATGCAAAGGGAGCCAATGTGATACAACCGTCCATCCGACGCTTGATTACTAAAGTGGCTGAAGTGTCGTTAGTCTGAAGCGTGAAGCTTCTTTTCTGGCCATGGTCACCCTGTTTTGAGCGCAAGAGAAGGCGGAGGAACGTCGCTTACCGATCGAGAGCGTCCCTGCCACCGCCTCCGGTTCCTTGTGCGTTTTCAGGTGATGCAAAAGCGGCTCACATCGGGTTGCCGTCACGACTGCGGCGCGCGCTCGCACGCTGCTTCTTGAAGAAAGGCTCGGCGAAGATCCAGAAGAAGACGTTCAGAAGGCACAGGAGTCCCAACACTTGGAAGAGCGGATCGTACGAGCCAATCGTATCGCGGCAGTAACCTGCAAGGGGAGTTTAGATTTGTAGAAAACACTGTAGTGATCACCAGACTTAGCCCGTACCCGCAAAATGTGCCTTTTCTCATGGGAGCGCTATCCCGGCGTTAGCCGAGCCACGGTTTCGTGACATAGCAGTCAACAAGCCACACCGAAGTGCTACGCCAAAGAGCTGTTGTTCAGCCTACTCCACGATAGCTCTGCCACGAAAAAGCAAACACTTTGCGTGTTCTGCATAAGTTTGGCGAACACGACTTTGGTTCTTATTTCACGTTTTACTTCGAAAGGGTATCAGCGGCCACCAAATATCACCACTCAAGTTAGTGGCCCAAATTATAACTTTCTACCTTATGAGTGGTTTTAATGATAGCTTTTCTATCATAAGAAAAAAAAAAAGAAAAAACAACAACGGCGTTTGCTTGTTTGTATTAGTGTTGCTGAGTGTACAGCGTACGACACAGTTAGCGCGAACGTGACATCGAAACGTTTTCGCCTTTTACTCGGACAGAGTATTGTCGAGAATAGACTTCTGCCATCTTCACTTCGACCAGCTTAATAAACGCTCGGCAGTGCTTATTATGTTAATTAGCGCTCCTTGCTTCGTGATTTGCTCTTTGGAGATCTTATCGGCTAATACCGTAATCTCATTCGCCGACTGATAATGAGGGGCTCCAGACACGGCGGGGGACATGTGGAAATAGTGGTTTGAATAAATTAGCGCGCCGTAAACCGTAGCTTTCGCAATGTTGAAGAAACAAAAAACGGATATTGCGTCTTTCTTTTTTTAACCGTGGAGGCTACGAATGGATGCAGCGCTGTTCGATTCTAATCACAATTCACACATCCATACATGGGCACTTTCTACCTCACTGTAGTCACTGCCAGGATGAGAATTGCGGGGAGTTTCTTCCGTTGTCCCACCCCAGGGCGAGCTCTCTATACCTACGATAACGCTTCGGCATATTGTGAGAGCTCCGAGCCTGCACGCACAGCAAAACCATGACGGAAGGCAACGAGCTCGTGCCCTGTCGTTCGTTCTCATTCTACCAGTGACTAAGTAGTTTGGGTGTCAAACTTCCTACTCTAAAAGAAAAAAAAACAAAAAAACATAGCTGTCTCTTTTTTGTGTTAACCACGTCGCGCTCTATAACGCTCTCGCAACAGTCGCACTGACGTGAATGTCATGTTTGTGCCACCATTTGGGTCGAGCAACCTTTGTTTCGTAGCATAAATGCCCGGGGTTTCTGACTGAAACATTTCATCGAAGCTTTACTGTAGTTTTGTACCGTCACTGCTTGACACCGTAGTTGAGTGAGCTCTAGACAGCGCATTCTCAGAAGGAGATCGCACTTGTCTGTCAAAGTCGACGTTTTCGACGTGTGTATTGAGGTACGGTTGATAACGAACTGCGTATTGGTGGGCGAGACACAGTCACGACGAAACGCCCGACCGATCGTACTACGACCCATGGGACGTCTTGTCACGCTTGTTTTACATGTTTTAGTGAAGCTGACGAAACCGACTAATTTGAGAAAGCGCTTAAGAAGCAACAGCGCAAAACAACGAGGACACAACAGGCAGACACACAAGAGACAGACGCTGGTATATTCGCCTTCTACTTTTTCGTGAGAAATAGCCAGATAAGTAGCAGAGCTGTAGGTCAGTGCCCTTTGTTTGTTCCTTTTGTGTGTCTCACTGTCGTGCCCTCGAGCTTTTGCGTTGATGCATCCTACTATGATTCGCAGACTCGGTCATGCTTTAATCCTAACAACAATGTCCATCCCTAGGCACTCTTTCGAAGGCACGACTCACCGACACTCACTCACCTATCACCGGAACCATAACAAGAGACATCACGCCGACTACAATATGGTACAGCCGAAACGCCAAGGCGACATGGTGCAGCCCGATGTAGTCTTCGAACAAGACGATGTGGAGCACTGCGATGCATCCCAAGTTCAGCCCCAGCACGATCGCGGTGGCAAGCATCGCGCCGTAGCCGATCAGGTACGGCGAGGCCAGGAAAAGCACTCCGCTAGCGCACTGGACCCACATCATCATCAGCTTCTTTGACCCCACTTCAAAGTTTGTCAGAAAAGATGTCCCCAACCGCGCAGCGAGGTCCGCTAGCGAGAAGTATGTGAGAAACACCACAACCCCATCCGGATGCACTCCCTTATCAACCGCGAAGTCCAAAGCGGTGCTGCCGTAAATGACGTTGATGCTGTACAAGAGGAAGAAGCTCAGAGTACAGATGTAGAACATGCCGTGTTTCAGCAACGAGAGGCAAGGTTTGAAGAAGTTGGTGGCTCGGCTGCGGAGGGTTCCTTCGGTTTTGCTTGGGACGGGCACGATGACTATGCTCTCCGACGACACGGACCTTCTGTGGATAGTCACTTCCCCGGTCTCCTTGGTTTCCACGAGGTCGTACGGCGATGGTTCCAGGACGGAATAGCAGGACACGTAGGACTCTGAGCCTTCCGTTAGAAGTCTCCGACGCTTAAAGGTCGGGAGTCCTTCCAGTTCGCAGGGATCGAAATCGGACTGGCAATCCTCGTAGACGGTGTCCTGGGACAAGGCCATTCTGCCGAGTCCCAGAGTCCCGTCATTCGGAAGACCCGCTGCTTCATAATCGCAGACATTGCTGTTGCTCACCGATCTCAGCTTGTGGTAAGCGTAGTCTTGAACTCCGCAGCCGGAGTCACCGTCGGGTCTTTCGCCCAGGTGTTGCAGACACTCGGGCATCGAGCCTCTCTGTGGCCGATGGTTGGGGTCATCGAAGTCCACGTTGTTTCCGCGACGCTCCGGTTCTGCGGCGTTTTGGCGCTTTTTGACAGCCCGCATCTCGACGACGTGTCCGTTCTTGAGGATACCGCTGGGGATCACCGGGGCACGGAACCGAGGCTTTGTGATCTTCTGGAGTAGGGTACCGATGCAGCCGTTGAGTGTGATGGCTCCCAGCAGCAGCGAAGAGCCCCTCAGGCCGTACTCCCGTAAGAGGTGTTGAAGCAGCCACGGAAAGACTACGCCCGCCAAGGTGATGCCTGTCGTAGACAGGCCGACGGCGAGGACCCTGTGCTTTCTGAAGGCGGTCTTGACGAATGTTTGACTCCGACATTCTATGAGTCCCTGTCCCAGACCTGCGAGAACCAGAGGAATGACACTGTCACGGAGGCCAATTTCCTTACGGAAAAAGAAAGAGGATCGTGCGTTCCACGTATTAACATATCTTGTTTTTAACAGGGAGGCATGACCAATATGGGCCAAAGTACGCCGCTGTTGTTTTTGGAAGGGTATAGCTAGGATTCCCTGTTTTAGGAGTTTATTTTTTCGTCGAATTCAGACAGTGTTTTTCGGAGTTCATTTTTTTCCCGGAAATTCGGAGTTTATTTTTGTTCGATTCCCAATTCCCCGAAATTCGAAACCTAATCTTAGTGTTTTCTATTTTTCAAAAATAAAAATAAATAATATCCGGGTGTAAACGTTACTAGATTCAAAATAACGCGCTTCTATCAAGTGAGTTTTGTTCAGCTGGTTTCAGCGTTGGCGCCATTGCCACTGGCAAAATACTAATTTCCCCCGACAAGAGTTGCAAACAAGTGTTGATTCTATAAACGTCGATAGCTTAAAATCAATAAACTCCTGGAGGCAGTTGCTGAGAAGCTTGTATTCATCCCATCCTATGCATCAACATACCCCAGGGCTGCGCGGGGTGGAGTGGTAAAGTTGTAATATGGAAGCTTCAACTGCCCACCTACACCCTCTTCCCCCTATTATGAAATCTATAGAGTTCATAGCATTGACTGTTTCAAACACAACCCTTCCTTGCTCTAAGCAGAACAAATACTATGGCCCATGCAGGAAACCGGAACAGTGACTTCTATCGTGACCCGAAAGTGCAATGACCTGTTGTCCTGAATGAACCTTGACGAGATAAGCGGGAAGATCGCTTCTGTCAATGGTTCGATATTTGAAAGAAAGCTGGGGTGGCATTTTCTCAGTAGCACTGACCATGTGCACTGACAAAACTCAATTGTAAAATACCGTTGATTTTTTTTTTTTGCATTGGTACATTGGAATTTGCAGTTTATTGAATAAATCCGAATCGACGAAGATTCTACCGGCGGGTGTTTTTCGGGGTTTTTCGGATTTATCCAAAAACACGTAACTCTAGGTATAGCGCACGCATGTTACCCCATCATGCCATCGGCGCATTTTCGCCCTTTTTCCTGAATTTAATGTCGAACAACGTATTTGCTACCGAAGCTACCGCCGCAAATAAACACGTTCATTATTCTGTAGTAGATTTTTAAATAATTGGCAGCACTGTAAGGTAGCAAAGAGGCGCGAAAGGTTGGCTATCACGTGATCAGGCTGCTACAAATGACCCGCTTCACACATGCAGTGAAAAATTCAAGTATGGAGGTACTGCGCTTATTTTGAACGCACATCGTGTGACAATTCAGGTATTCAGCTACACAAAATAACAGAGAAAATCCCTTCGGTGTAACCAAAAAACAGCAAAAGAATTTTTTTTTTTTTAATTTTCCACTTTTTGGTACACTTTTTTATTGTGAAAATAAACTTACACATTCGTTGGAACACCACTGCCAAAATAGAAAATAAAATGAGCCCCTAAGTTTCGCACTCTCTTGGTTAACAAAGATGTCAATGAGATATTGGTAGTGGAAGAAACTTGCCGAAGGCGGTCAGAGGACACAACAAGTGAACGAATAGCAATATAGTAGCCTTGTGATCGAAAAAGTGCATCTATACGGTATTGAACATCCGAATGAAAATGCATACCATACATCAGACCGGCGAGGACGAGTCCAATAGTCGTCGGCAAGGCGCAGACAATGCAGAGAGCAACTCCGCACAACACACAGCAGCACAGGTTGGATGTAACCACGGACACCCGTTTACTCAGAAGGCCGGACAGCGCACCTGCACAAAAATGAAGAATGAGGAAACGTAATAAAGGACAATTAGGTTTTTGGTAAATAGTCAATAGGGAGATTCAGGGACCCGTTTTTGCACACCCGATTTGGTACGATTGGCCCTCCGGTACGAACTGCGCATGCGCTTCCGCAGAAGACTCGCGCATGCGCAGTGCGCACCGTACCGTATCACGACCAAAAACGGTTTCCCAAAACTCTCTCCTGTTCAGGACCTCGTCCGATTCCGTGGCCCCTAAGTGAGAGCAAGTGACGTCACAAAGAGCCGGGGTGTCATGTTGTCGGATGTCGCGATCCTGGCGGTTGGGCGTAAAATTTCTGGATAGAAGCTCGAGCGTCACTTTCGTCGCAGCGTCCCATGAAACTCGTGGCTGCGGACGCTTCCATGGACTGTCGAGCTGGAGAACGACCTGCATCAGAACAGGCGTCTGCCACATCCACCACAGCTGTTGGGACACCGCCAGGATCGCGGCAGCCTGACACTTCTATGATGTCATCAGGTGGAAATCGAGGGACCACAAAGCTAGGACGCGGTAAAGACGCCTGTCGGAGACGCGTTCCAGGCACTATAATTTCGCGAACAAACAACAAATGCCGCTCTCAGGATGAACGGGTGGATGGACGGTTTTGGCCGTACCCTCTGTATAGGGCGGTAGCTTGCGCCACCTAACTTCAAAAAATGTAAGCCCCTCATCTCCGTGTCAAGTACACCTTGCTAGCAACATCGTTCTTACGAATGACAATCATCAACTTGTCATAAGATCGCAAGTTTTCAAACAAGCGGTCGGAAATTTCGTTGCTCGCCAGAAAACTGATGCTTGTTATTTCGGTATTGTTCCTTTGACCGTGGCGCATACAGGACTGCCCACGTCTTCTCTCTAGTCCTTCAAGTTGGGGTGGTACTGATATGTGACATGCTTCAGACAACTTCGAGCACTGCTGATCCCACGAGTTATAACGCAACTCAGATGCCCTAATGCAAAAATCCTCATCTGCACCGTCAGTTCATTTTGTAAGCCATCAAGACGTGCTTCCCACTACCGGCGAAGATTCCGAACAATACAGTGCACTTCGTTCTTGTTGTCCACAGGGCCCACGGTGTTAACCCAACACAGGGACCTTGGACTGAATTCTTTAGGGCACCTCCCTCAATCGAGAGTGGGAATAAGATTGCGCACGAGTGTCGCCTCAGTCGGTGCTCCACGGATTGAACCCGAGCCACAACCGAACGCTAAAGCAGAGTTCAACTGCGTCAGTTGAGCGCCGCGTAAGAAACAAATAATTCTCGTTACTCTTGTCTCCATGAGTTTGGTCTTCAATTTAGCCGCTAGAGCCGTGGGGTTGGGTCTCCTTCCCAACAGGAAGCAACAGCGCAAAAGGAAGACGACGACAGACGAGACATCCTCGCTTGTCTTGACCCGCGTTCACAACGCTAATACATTATACAAAAGACAGCCTGCAGACAGTGTCTGAAGCGTGTTTGTTCCTTGTTTGTCGGTTCCACATTGGTCATACAAACACTATATGGAAACATATTTGAAGCGTGCATATGTAAGAATCAAACTTGCTTCGAAGATGCTTGAGGTGTGCCCGCGGATATTTCTGTCATCATGTCTGCGGAAAAACCCCGTGTCTCTCCTACGATGTACGAGTAGTCCGACTACCGCTTAACAGTGTCTCCCCTATTGTGTTGATCATTTTGCACTGTTTTGTTTCCTTGAATGACTCGCTAACTCCTTCAAGCCTCCATATCTTAACCTCTTTTCATAAGAAAAAAGAAATACATGTTTTTACACACAAAAAAAGAAGTTAAATTGTCTGCGCTGTCGAGCCGATCGCTTGATCTGAGCACCGGTTGTGAGTCAGTACTCTTCCTAGCCACCCGCGCGAAACATTGTGGAGAAATCATGATTGCACAAACACCCAAATGTCCCGTACGCATTTCGTCACGGTCTACTGCAGTCACTGACGGGACGAGGACGGCAGGGAAGTAAATTTCAGTTCTCCCCTTCCAGCGCGTGCTTCCAACCTTCCATAACACTTCGGCATCCCATTGGCTTCAAAGGTGTTTTCGCAGCCAAAGCATGACGGAAAGCAGCGAACGCGTGCCGGAGGTCGGGTACGTATTCGAAAGATACCCTGTCGTTTTGATCCTGTCAGTGACCATAGCTTATGTCTAGACTATAGTTGTAATCGAATTTTGCTAATGAGAGGGCCGCACCGTATGAATAGCGGTTCAGAAGCCTGGACAGCCGAACTTAAGATACCTTCTTTTAGTTATGTCGATGTAAGAGATGCCACAATAGGCACGAACGCCGGCCTCCGATATAATAAAGGGAATTAAGACCACTACTATATGAAAACAAGGCACAGGAACAGGTCTACGTGCCAACTAGCTCAACTCGCCACAATACTAGAATTAAGACTGCAACTAGGGCTAGTTTGTTCTAATTCATACTAAGGTTATATGCCGAAAAACACAGGCATAAAAAGTGAGGCCACACAGGTCAAGGCGTCTTGTCCTGTGTAGCCTCTCAATTTTTGTGACCGTGTTTCTTGGCGTAAAACCTCAGTATAATAAAGAAGCGGTGGCGTTGTGCACATGTCGCAGGCACAGAAGCGCTGCACTTAGATCAAGTTAGCGCCTCAAAGCGGTGGCGTATATAGGAAGCCTTCTTAGTGTATTTCTCGTGGCAGCGCCCATCGGCACGCGGGTATCTTCGCTATACGCGGAGGTAAGCTATGCGCCGAGAAACTGAGTGAGAGGAGGAGACAAGAGCGTGCGGGGACGTCAGAACCTCGAGCTCTGGTTGGAATGATTAGGGGGTAAACCTAAAAGATGGTTCACACTGTTGCAACCGACTCCGACCTAGTAGTGGATTCGACACTGCGCACAAGAAACAAAGACATAGTAGAAGGGTATACACAGGACAAGTGCTTACTCCCAACTGAGGTTTTTATTAAGGCGAAGGCCTTCTACGTCTCATCGTACAGTTGACCTTCGAAGTCCTCGAGCGAAAACACGTCAGCGACACGAAAGGTACCAAAACGAAAGGTATCAATGAAACGGCGCCAAAAGCGCGTCGTCAGAGAGCGCGCGCGTGTTGTCTTCGCCAGAGCCGTCTCTGGTCTTCGCAGGTTCGCAATCACCGGGACCAGAGCCGACGTCATGACCCCAGGGAGCAAATGAAACGGCGCGAAACGTTCGTCGGCAGAGAGCGCGCTGTGTTCGGAGGTTCGCTATCACCGTGACCACAGCCGACGCCACGGTCCGAGTGAGCCGATGAAACGGCGCCAAAAGTGCGTCGTCAGAGAGCGCGCTGTCTTTGGAGGTTCGCTATCACGTTTACATCGGCGCTGGGGCTTTTGCCTTCAAGTCGTCTTAGGGATAACTTATAGCGAGTTCGTTTCACGGCACTCGTGCCCACGCGTGCCCACTCGCAGCGTGGAACGGGTTCGTTTCGGCCGGCACTCCACGAGTGGTTGCACTCTCCGAGTTCGTTTCAGCGCTGACACCCCACGCGTGCATGCACTCGCTGCACCGAGAAAATCGGGAGTGCGCCAAAATGCAATCCCGTCATGCCTCGCTCCGGTGGGGCCGGCGAGGAGCGGGAGCAGACGACGAGGGTTCGTCTGCTACGATGTGTCGCGGAACCGAACGGGAAAAAAAGTAGATTTTCTCATAGATATCGCGTCCCGCGGGCCATGAAATCAAACGCAAGCTTGAATTGTGAGCGTCTGCTATTTCCTGAAGGAAGCAATTGACAACCCGTGATTTATTTGCAGGTTTTAAATCGCTCTGTTGCCGCACAAACGCTGAAATATACCAGTGTGTAAAGAAATGCCCAGAACAAACGCAACAGCGGCCCCCGAGATGTCTATCAGCATCCGTGTGCGGGTGAAAAATTTAACATTTTTCGACAAAACTCCCCCAGCAGAAACCTCTGACTGCCCAATGAGCATCAGAGAAAGCTAAAGATGGAGACTTTATCCGAGGATTGGGCAACATCATCATGTTTAAAACTTACCCCGTCGTATTTTGTTCGAGAAAGCTCTCATTCTCGACGCCCTCGCCAAGGCTAATATCTAATCCTGACGATCCAAATCGAAAGTCCCAGTTTTGCTGGATATTACAACAGGATAGTTTTAAGCCGTACCCTCTCAGTGGTTCACGAATAATACCATGTTCAAACGGATCAAGCTTCTGCTCGGACAGCATCATCAGTTTTCTTCAGTGTAAACGGTTATAAGAATTGAAAGATCGCAACCAGCTGCTTTGTAGACAGCTGGTTGCGGAAATTTACGCCGTCTGTAATTATCTCTACGGCAGCCTAGCTGCTTGAAGTCATCGCAACTATAAACTACAGGTTGCAGCGACCAACGTTTGTAGATAAACGTTGGTAGCGACTGCATTCTCGCATTCCCACGCATCACTCCGAACAGAAAGGCGCTAGTTTCGGTTTGAAGTCGGTACCTTTTCTACAACATAGATGGCGGCAGCGTCAGTCTTCTGCACTCGGTGCATTTGGCGAGTTCGTTTGAGTCCAGTTTTCCGTGCAACACTCTGCGAGTGCGATGCATTCTGGGAGAGAACTCGAACGGTGCCAGTGCGTGTGAAACGAACTCGCTATTAAGAAACCATGTGAATTTGTCCACCCTCCCAGGGGCACTCCAAGCGCATCTGCAAGATCATAAGGTCTGAGAGCTGGAGACAAGCGCAGTTCCTACACGACTACCTTAAAGTGTTGTGTTGCCGTGGCAACCCCGACCCCAGTGCACACAGATACCATAGTGACCAGCTGCAACTGGTGAACCAGGTGACGGAACTTTTGTGGCAGCGTGTGAGGGCGGGAATTCCGAAGAAACAACGTGCATCGGCTTGCTGTCAGGGAGACCTGACGGTTCTAGGTGACGATCAAGTTCCAGAACATCTGGCTAAAATCCTTAAAAAAAGGTCCGAAGTTTAGCATTGAGCCTCCCAAGAAGCCACATGATCTTTTGGCTGCTGTGCGGCGTATTTCGGATAAGGTTGCCTCAGAGGACAAAGACCACTGTACCTCAGGTGGGGCTGACTGCCTTTTGAGGTGCGCTGAAAATAGGGTTCCGGCCCCCACGGGGGCTGACTGAAACATCCTCTGTCGTTTTTTTTTTTTTTTTTTTAAGCGGTTTGAGTTTGCTGCATGTCAGACAAAGAGGGCGGGGTGGTCCTGCTCCCCGACAACTTAATAAAGAATAATTCTCATGCCGCCAAAATAAGAATTCCAGGCTAACTTCTCTTGATCCCAAGAAGGTCAAGGCTGTTGCAATGAACAGGTGCAAGAGATTGGAGCTCACCAAATCGGAACAAAACATACGTAAAAGGAAGACTGGGCATTTGGAGGTCTTCTTTGCTGTTAAGACCCCTTGATGTGGGCGCTTCGCTGCGTTCCATTATACGGAGAGGGGCTCGTGGCAGAGTCTGGTCAGCCAGTACCTGCAGAAGCACCTTAGTGATTTGAAACTTTTCGACCCTTTTTGGTTCGCAGTTCGGCGTGTATTGTGGATTCTTTCAGCAAGGAATCGTACACGGGCTCTTTAGGTTTTTCCATCGATGTAGAGGACCTGTTTTACATAATTCCCCACGGCGTCATGTTTGTTTCGGTGCGTGAGTGCATAGAAAGGAATCGCACAATAGCCTTCCAGAATGCTTGCGGCTTTTCTGTTGGTGGGGTTTTGGAGCGGTTGAAGTTTTACCTCGAATCCAATCTTATCACGTATGACAGCGGCCTTTACGATCAAAAAGAAGGCAATTGTGTTGGGTCCTGTCTGGCTCCCGTGATATGTGACATTTTCCTAGCCTATTGCGACTTGGCCATCTGCAACCAACTAGATGATGAACAGATATCCAAAGTGTTTCGACACGTAGACCACCACCTGGTTGGTATGAAAGGGTCTGAGTGTGTTTTGGTAGAAAGAACTGTCATGGCAATTTTGGATGTTTTCACACGGTGCTCCGAGGGGCTTAGATTCACTCAAGAACTTCGAGGTGGTCGCTTTTTACAATTTCTAGACCTCCGGTTAAAATTTATAGGCAGTCATGTCTGTTTGTCGTATAACCCACGATCGAAGAAGGGTCTCCTCCCCTTGGACTGCTTGCATTCTTAACTCGTAAAAAGAACCAGTGCTTCATCTTACCTACTACATACGGCTTTGGAGAAATCGTGCCAACATGTAATTCATGCCAGTTTCGGCCGGCAGGTGGAGCGACGAGTTGCGGCCGGATTCTGTTATTGTTGTTGGTACCTGCTGCAGAGTCGCTGCTTAAGGAAGGGAGGGGAGGGCCACAGAGTAGAAAAGGTAGGCCAAGCAAGAGACCGATAGTCATTCCCTACCTTCATCAAATATCCCACAATCCCGAAAAACGTGGCGCAGAGATACGACGTGCCTATGGTGTTTTCTGCACCTAGCAAACTTGCGCAATCGTGCCCTAAAGTTGGCAACAAAACAGGATCCAAGCGCATTTGCACAGTCAAACATAGGAAAAAATATGTGGAATGTACGATGGGCGTCGTGTATAGGATTCCGCTAACGTGCAGCAAGGTATAAGTTGGCCAAACGGCCCGATGTATAAATGAAAGATTGCGTGGGCATGTTTGGTCTCTGCGGTCGACAGCGGTCGGGCACTTGTCGCTTCATTATGCAGATTGTATAGCCCGACTTCCACCACGTCACGATAGCTGGAAGGGGGAAGATCAGATGACTATAGAAATGTTACAAGCCTACAGGATAATAAAAGAAGGGACTGGGCGATGTGTAAGCCAAACATCGGTCCTCTTACATAGCAAAGAGATATATGTTATCTCGACACGTGCTGAATTGGCCATGATGGTGTGGAATGCCTGTTGTTTGCTTCGGTGTTTGTTTCAATAAAAACTTCAGCTGAGAGTAAGCGCTTCTCCTGTGTACACCCTTATAGTTTGTTTTCTTTTCTTGTGCGCTGTGTCGAGTCCACTAAGCATGAACCTACTAGCCCGCATCGCCACCCCAATTCCGACCGAGTCTAACAATGCGTTTTTTTTTAAGCCGCTTACGACCGCCATTGCTGCCGCGATGCAAGGCCGTAAGCCGTCGCAAGAGGTTTAAAACTCGGTCTTGTCTCAGTCGGTCGGAGTCAAATGAAAGTGTGTGAACGGGCCTTTTCTCTCATCTGGATTCGTCGAACGCGTTCCAATGAGAAATCCAAATTCCGGACGCCCGCGTTGCGCGTCCTCACACGTTGGAAGAGTGTAGTGGATGCACAGGCAGCCTTTGTCTCCACTGCACTCGACGAAGGCGTTTGAATACGAAAGCCAAACGCCTGACGCCGGCGTTCCGTGCCCGACGAGTGGAGTGGAGACAAAGGCAGCTAAGGTCTACCCACTAATCATTCCAATCAGAGCTCTGCCTTCTGACGTCCCCTCTCGTCTCCTCCTCTCCCTCAGTTTGACGGCGCATAGGCGTACCTTCGATGTATGCGTATCTTCACTATACGACCACTGTAATTGTACCAGGGTATTTGGTACAAGGTATCTGGCACATGCCGAGGTATTTGGCACATGCGAACCTTTGCCATATAAGCACCTTCCACTCTATGTGCTGGGGCAGTTGAGAAAATGAACAAAACACTGACTGGAGAAAGCATTTGCCGACGCCACAGCCGCGAACGCCAGAGAAGCGTTCCATCGGTTGAACTGGAGGCTCCTGGTGAGGAACAGGTACAAGACGCCGTACGAGCGGAACAAGCCGAAGACGAAGAACAGCAGCCATGACGTCGCCAAGACGGCGGGCCAGCTGGTTTTCTGTTCTCTGCCCCGACCACGCCTCCGGAAGGACAGCGCCATGCTTGTCTCAGGAAGACCTGCGATGAAGGAGGAGTATGTATTGCTTTAGTTGTAGTTAGGCTTAATGGTACGTTTACACCTGAAAAGAAATCCGCTGCCGCGGGAGCGGATCCGCTCCCGGCGGTGGCGACGACGAGCTGGTTGTGTTTGCATCTATTTCCTTCGAGCAGTGGCGGCAGCGCCGGCTGCGGCAGCGGTTCCCGTAACGTCTCGTCAAATATGACGAGAAGGCGCGAGAGTTCCCGCCTCGGCTCTCTCTCTCCCGGGCGTTGCTGCTCCCGGAAGAACGCGTACTCGTGACGTAGGCAGCGTCGCGCCGCGCAAGAATGTCATATCCGATCAGCGAAACGCCTCGTTCGGCGGCAGAAATAGATCCCGGACCTAAACGGCTCGCCGCCGCGTTTTCCGCCCAGCGTTTCGCCCCAGCGGCAAAAGCTGGGCGGATCCGCTGGCGGATCCGCAAGTGTAAACGTACCATAAGGCGGGGTCACACTGCTTATACTGTTATACATCCATCCAAAAGACAGTTTGCATACACATTCAAGCGCGAGTGACAGCGAGATCCGTGCTTCGAATGCATTATGGCAACGGAAACTTGGCACACGACAATCGAACTACGGATATTGCATGCGGTGACTCGTGTTGCCAGACTGTCTTTTGTATAATGCTTTAAGCCGCGGTAAGAATGCCTATACGCCACACAAAAGACAGTCCGCAGACACCAAGGCGTGTTTCTTCCTCGTATGACAATCCTGCCATACTGGCCATACAAAAAGTGGATGTATTGATGGATGTTAATGGCTATATCCTCTGTAACGGGCGATAGCTTGCGCCACCTAGCTTAGGTCTAAAAAGACGAACATCTAATTCCTCCCGCCCTTCTAAGCCACTTTTCTCCCCCAACTATCACAAGATGACCTTTAGGGGGATCGGGTAAACAAACTAGAAAACATCACCTCCCACCTCTTCCCGCCGGCGATGGAGTCGACAATATTCCTCTGGTCACACCTTGTCGGCGTTACCCCAGCACCGGACCCATTGGGGGATGTACGCATATAAAGCAAGCATGGCTCGAGCATGCTGGGAGTGAAAATATAAGTTCAATACTTGTGTTGTACTGTACAACCTCCCCTCCAGAAATGACTCGACACGTTTCCTGCCCAAGCAGCACAGATTTGGCCAATCATTGGCCAATGGCTGGCAATGGTTCTTTGGCCAGTGGCCAGACAGTGGCCAGCCCTTGGCTGATGATCGGCCTTTCTCAGGCCATTGGTCTGTGGCCACTGGCCATCAGCCATCGGCCAAGCATTGGCCGATGAATGGCTATCCTTTGGCCAGTGGCCTAAAGACCGTTCCCAGCCATTGGCCAATGCATGGCCAAAATCTGTGCTGCTTGGGTAGTTACTTTATCAAAAAGTAACGAAAATATGTTACTCAGTCCTTCTCTTCAAGCTTCACCAAGTCGTTACTGTGTGACCGAACAAAACGTACAAGTAAGGTGTTACTTGTAACGCGTTATGTAGTAGTCTGCCTGTGGGAGACTCTGTAAAGAAAAACAGATACGTCACGACCGACCGCAACCTTTGACTAAACGTAATAGGGCAAATAAACCGATCCGCGTTGAGTTGCAACCGCTACCGTATTTTACGGAGTGGTTGCAACTACACACGTTGAACAATGGAAACTTTGCATGACGGGATTCGACGGATTTTGCAAATTACGAGTTATGTAAAGGATTATTTCGGTGTGATACAAGCTTCTTTGTGCGCTCATGAGGTTTTTTAGTAGATCGTTTCGACAACTCCAGTGGCGACACTCGATACTCTGCCAGCACCTTTGTGGATGCGTTGTCTTAGTGGTAAAATACGTTGCTGGGTTTGTTGGTTCATCTCAGTTAAACTGGTGTAGTTTGCGCTATTCTGTTTAACTACTATTATATTTCTTCTGCAGTTAGTGCTTGTATTGTTTGTTTTGTTTTTTTTGCGCCATTTTTTACGTTTAAATAAGATAAACCAACTAGCACAGCAATGTACTTCACTAGATTATACTTCTTCTACAGTTAGCGCTGGTTCTGTTTACTTTATTGTTTATAATTTATTCAAAGATTACCCCGCATTGCCCGAAGGCGTTACAGCATGGGGGTTACAGTTTTGCAAAGAAACAAGTCTTCGTTGGCAGAACACACTTGCTCCTCAGACGGCGTGTTCCGCTGTACAATGATTTTAACGGAAAACGAAAGAAAACAAAAAAAAAAACGAATTTGCATAAATGTTTGTTTTGGCGTGGCATTCTCTGACTTTAAAGACATGATTATTCCGATGAGAAACATAATACGGTTCGTTCAGAAAAGCTGCGCTTTTGGTGCCTGTTTTGTAATAAAATAATGAAAAGAATAACTTTACTTCCACTTTTGTTCCTCGAGGGGCAGTGATTCCCAATTTAATTCATTTTTCATTCGAGTAACATTGTCTTTCCACCCGCAACACCCCAAGACAAACCGAGCTGCTGTATTCTGTATTTTTTACAGTTTATTAACCAATATTTTTTGTGCAGGGTTTTATACAGCACTAGCACATTCTAAAATCAGCTTGACCCATGCTAGATAGGCAGAATTTTATAGCATATTCTGAGCACTTTAGATTTCTCTGAATAAAGTTCAGCGCCCTACCGGCTTTAGCAATCGCATCATCTACGTTAGCATTCCATGAACAATCAGTGGATAGAATACCATCTGGATACTTGTACCTAGGTAGGTTGCTTACTTGATTCGTATTTATATAATAATGATTTTCAAGTTATTTTTTTTCCGTTTTCTTTGTAAAACATAGCTGCACACATTTTTGGGGATTCAAACTCGTTTTTGCTCAGAACACCAGGTATGAATACGGTTTAAGTCATTTTGTAACCCAGCGACATCACTCTTACTCTTAATTTTTCTATACACAACACAATCATTAGCGAACAAACTTATAGAGGAAAATGTATCAACTGAGATATTATTAATATTAAAAACAAAGGTGGTCCCAGGACAGATCCCCGCGGAACCCCCGACGTGACGTCGACATAATCCGAACTTCAGCCGTTCAAACTTACACACTGCCTACGCTAGAAAAGATAATTTTCAATCCAATTGAACACAGTCGAATATATGTGAAACATTTCGAGTTTACTTAAAGGTAATGGGTGGAAGACCGTGTCAAACGTCTTACGGAAAAAGAAAAAAAAAAAGATACAATTCGTTTGTTCCCGCTCAACAGCTTCCGATACCAAGTCGTGATAAAATTCGACAAGTAACGTTGTGCAAGATAATCTTTTCCGAAACCCGTGTTGTTCTTTTATCAAAACATCGTTTTCTGTTATACGTCTAATTATCTCCGTTTACATAAAATATGTTCCATGATTTTGCACGAAACTGATATTAGTGAATTCGGCCTATAATTTGCTACGTCTTTTTTTTAGCCTCCTTTGTGATTAGGTACAACGTGGGTGACCTTCCAGTTATCTGGCAGTTGTCCCGCTGAAAACGACTTGGCGTAAATAAGCAAAGATAAAGCGAAATTGGTCGTGCACGTTTCTTCAGTACGCGAGGTGAAATACCATCTGGACGATTTGCCTCTGTTTCACCGATACCCCTTAACAGTAGTTTAATTCCACGTACACTAAGTTCACAACTGGCTTCATCAGCGGCAAGTACTTACGTACGTTCATGTACATGGAGGGGCCCCAAAGAAAAAGGAAAAACAAAAAAACAAACAAAGTGAAAGTAATTATTTAAACACGTTGCTTTCACAGTATTACCTGAAGAAAACCTGATTATCATGTGCAATCTCATGTATTCCTAGATAATCTGATCCGGTTCCCTTCATATATTGCCAAAAAGATTTGGAGTTGGTTTTCGTTCTTTCATTAAGCCTTTTGAAGTTTTGCTCTTTTTATTTCCAGTTGGTTTTCACGTGTTACATCGGATAATCACTTTAACTAATTTTTTCTCCTTGTTTGCTTGTATTGCACAAACTCTCGTCTTCGTTTTTTTAATTATATTTAGGATACGGCAGGTCACCCATGACTTTTTCTGTTTTTAAGCTTATCAGAGTTTATACTTGGAGCATACACATTCGTGAGATTAGGCAATTCTTTTTTAAACACGCACCATAACTAATGAATCCTTAGAAAGACACTCAAACACAGGCAACTGCTTAATGAGCTCATTGGCGATGCTAAAATAATCACATTCTCACGTAAAATAATCTTCTTGATTTACATTACTTCAATAGTTTAAATTAAGTTTTTATGCTTGCAACAACAGCCTGGTGATCACTAATGCCTGGAATAATATTCGCGGAGGTAACAAGGTTGTCAGAACTACAGAACAAGAGGTCCAAGACGGTATTAATACGAGTAGGCTTGTTCAACTGCTGTAGTGTACGAAAGTATCTACAATATTTCTGATTTCAATGTTCAAACGGCTGCTAACTTTAGCTATACATGCGTTATTCTGCCAGCTCAAGTCTGGCAAGTTAAAATCAGCGGCGAGAAAGATTGTCCGGCCAGAGGCCTCGGAAACAGTATCGTAGATTGATTGTAACGTTCTCAAGTCCGAATTTGGTAGTCGATAAAAGGCTCCGACAGCATAAGAACAGTTATCATTTAAGGAGACTTTGCACCAAATGGACTCCACTGCGTCATGACCAGTATTTAGTAGCGAAGATTATAAGAAAGAATGAAGGTCCACCAAGGACTGACCGGCCTTTTCGATAAGCAATTAACTCTTTTGGAAAGACTTCACTATCGGGAATATACGGGTTTAGCCATGATTCTGTTCCAAGTACTATATATCAGCCTTGACATATTCAATGAGACCAGTAAATTCGTCAACTTCGTTTATTGTACTTCTGCAGTTTGCAACAACAGCTACTAAATCACGACAGTCGCGTTTCCTTTGCTCATGGTGGCGTCAGTGCTTTACTTGCGGAACAACAGCTTCCATTTCCTTATCACGTGAATTTTTTTTTCGTTA